GTGCGATCGAGGACTCTCAGACTGTTGCCTTGTAGTGGAACATGTCCTGCAATAAATACAAAGATTTGTAGGGACTCATGCAGCGGGAATTTGGAAAGAAGGTAGATTGCTACATCTTTGATGCGTCTTGGCTTTGCACTGGGCATCCTCCTCCGCCTCACCTACTTACCTCCTCCTCACCATCCGTCCTCATCGCACATCTTTCGCGAAAGCAGAGAAGGTACGAATACCCTAGAAGGAAATTAATCGCATCTTTCTCGCAAAAGAGGGTGGCACAGTAGACCCCAGGAAGGGAGGCCTGTCAGCACAACAGAACGGCAGGTCCACAGCAGGATCACATTCGTCTTCCTTGCAGAAGTGGTCGCGGATTATGCCGCTGGGCTCCTCAGCATGGCATCGGTCGCTTCGAACGCACTGAAAGAGGTCACATCTTCCCCCATCCTCCCGGCCCTTTCCTTTCCTTCACATCCCCGTCCCCTCTCTTCCTCTCTCCCGTCCGCCTCCCTCCTCCTCCTCCTCCTCCTCCTCATCATCAGTCAATCCTTTCGCGTGAATAACTACTCCCTATCGCACCCAGAGGCCAGTCCCAAGGGCGGAACGGGCGTTTCGCTTGAGACTGCCTGTCATTTTCTGGTTCTGAAGCTTGACAATTGCAGCAGCTCCACCGATGGAGGGCGGCCCGCTTTCAAACTGTGGCTCTCGCCATAGCGCCGCGCACATTTGTCTCAAACATCTGCAAAAGGCTTCACGGATGAAGGGCGGCCCGACTTCAACACGTGGCTCTCGCATTAGCTCCGTACATATTCGCTATTAAAAAGTGCATGCTTCACGGATGGAGGGCGGTTTCTTTTCAAAATGTGGTTTTCTCCTTGGCGCCACACATTCGTGTTAAGAGTTTGCAGCAACTTCGAGAATTATCATGGCTCACATGCCAGAAATTGTGTTTTGGCACGATGCCGGGATGTCAGGGCGCAACTGTCACGTTGATTCGCGGTGTCAAAATCCCAGGAACGGTGGTTCTGCCACGATTCATGACCATCAAGATGCAACAGTCACGGCCATTCGCGGCGTTGAATTCCCAGACATGGTGTTCTGGCACAGTTCCGGATTTTCAAGCGATTCTCTTTCAAAGGGGCACTTCTTCAGTGAGAATGAATCCTTGTAGGAGCCTGTGAAGAGGGAACTTGGAGGGAAGGTTTCTTGCAATGTCGTTGATGGGTCCTGGGTTTACGACAGTCCTCCTCCTCCTCCTCCTCCGCCTCCTCCTCCCAGAAGGGGGACCGGGTTTCTGGCTCTTGCCCTGCGCCACTGCGGCAGGCACCCGCCCGCATTCAGTCGTCTTGCTGCCATGAGGAAAACTGATACAGTGGAGGCCCGACCACGAGAAACCTTCCAGAAGAAACCCAACCCTGAGACCCCAGGACGTCCATTGAATTTTGGTGTGGGAACGTCACGCCTTCCACAGCAAAACCATCGAAACCCAAGAAACACAGGGCACCCAGGATCGGGGGCGCGCAGACATGGATCAGCGATCCATCGATTTGGCGCGCGGTCACCAAATCCGTGCATCGGGGGAGGCGCCCTCCCCAAAACGCGGCCGGTGCCGCCTCGCTCGGCGGCGGAAATCCGCGATTTCCCATGGAAACGGGACACGTCGCTCCAGTCAACCATGATAGTAAGGATGGGGCAACTTTCCAAGGCTACCCTTGAATGCTTGCCCCTTCGGTATTCGGCATCCTTCGGCATTCTGCTGCGCTCCGTACGGAAATTGTCAACATGGCGTTCCAAGGCCCTTGCGTCCTTACCGCGCATCCTTACTATCCTGGTCGAGTGTAATCCGCGCCCCCTGGATCCAGGTTCGCGATCGCCTGACGGGAGGCAAGCGGGTGCTTCTTGGCATGGGCCCCCCACTGGAAGAGCGAAGGGGCTCCTCTTGGCCGCTGCGGGCCTCGGCCACGAGGAGTCTCGGCCAAGCGTCGACCTGAGGAGCGGCCAGGAGACCGGCCCCGCGCGAGCCACAAGGGATTCTCATCTTGAAGGGGCCCAGGGACACACAAATCTGTACACACAAGTCCCAGGATTCCCGGTATGTTTCCATGTCTTCTGGGTTCTCGTCTTCCCCCCCATTGTCCATATTTCCCCATTTTCTCCTGGGGATGGACGATGAATTGTGCCTGTGTGTGTTTTTCCCCTCCTGGAATTCTTATTTCAGCGCCTCGACTGCACACACAGCTGGGAAATCCTGAAAGACCATGCCAGGAGGGGACCGTGAGGGGAAACGATATGGGGGGACTGGCATAGGAGGGGACACATCGACCTGGGATCGGCGATACATCGCCGATAGATCGGGGACGGGCCCCCGATAGTGCGTCCGCACGTTTCTGGGCTGGGTGTGGCTATCGGGCCCCTATCGGCGATGTATGGGCGATCGGGGATCGATGCATCCCCCCCATGCCTATCCACCCATATCGTTGCCCCCGAGACTGGCGCAGGGGGGAGGACAAAGAGGTGGAATCGGCAACACATCGCCGATGGGTCGGGGTCTCCCTTCCGCAACCCCTTCCGAAAGTCGGACGTGGAGATTCCAAGCCCCCCAAATCGCCACGTCGTCGTCATTGTTTGTGGGCGAGTCCGTCGGTCGGGCGGGCGGACGGGACACGACGTCGACGTCTTGGTGGGCGAATTGATCGTGCGGGAGGCACACGTCGTCGCAATGAACGCACTGGTCTGGCGGGACACGTCGTCGTCGTCGTCGTTGGCCAGCGCTGGGCGTCGTCGCCGTCACCATCGCCATCGCCGTCGTCGCCGTCATCGTCGTGGGGGGCGAGTCCGTCAGTCGGGCGGGCGAGCGGCACATGTTGTTGATGTCGTCGTGGACGAGTCGGTTTTGCGGGCGCGCGGGACACATCTCGTTCGTCGTCGTCGTCGTCGTCGTCGTCAACGACGGCACCATCGTCGTCGTCGTCGTCGCCGCCGCCGCCACCGCGGCCGCCGTCGTCATCGTCGTCGTCGTCGTGGTCGTCGGCGTCGTGGTCGTCGCCGCCACCGTCGTCGTCGTAGTCGTCGTCGACGTCGTCTTCATCGTCGTCGCCGTCTGCCGGCGCAAGGCTTCGTCGCCATTGCCATCGCTGGCGCCCCAAAACAGGGGGTAGGTTGAACCCGCCCCCGCCTTTCACTCTGCAGAGGGTGGGGGGGTGGAACCCCCCCCTGACCCCTGACTTCCTCCCAGCGTGCTCAGAAGACGCTCTTTGAAACATACCGGTGGACCGTGCGTCTTGCTTCCGATGCCTTCATGCTTCAGATCGCCCCGCGACAAGCCCAGGCGAGCCACGGTGGGCCCCCAAGACTGCCCTGGACGGCCCGTCAGAGCACTCCAAGACGGCCCCACTGCTGAAGAAAAAAACCCAGACGGCTCAGGAGGGGTCCAGCACAGCCGCCAGACCCGTCCAGATGTTTCCCGCGAGCCCCTTGGGGGGGACCCCTGTGAAACCATCACGCCCCGGAGGGCCCCGACACCACACCAGCCCCCCACGGGACCCAAGCACAGGACGCCAGGACGCCCCCCGAGAGGATCCCAGGATGCCCCCGAGAGGCCCCAAGGAGGCCCCCAAGAAACCCACAGGGTGCCTCCAACAGGGAAGAGGGAGGAAAAAGAAAAAAAGGAAGAGCAGGAAGAATGTGGACGGGAGAAAACAAACACGAAGGTGTTCAAGACCCCGGCCGAGCACTCACGGCATTGAACTCAAGCGCGTCTCAAACTCAACCAAATCCCACCAGCCCTCTGGACGTAGGTGGTCTAGGGCGGCTTCTCTTCCAACCCCCTTCTTCCCCTTCGGGGAGGGGTTTATCACTGTTCCCTATTATTAAACACCCCCTCCCCCACCCGGCCGGCAGCCAACCCGGAACCCCGGAACCATGCGCACACCATGAGGGCCCCCCCCACCATCCCTGTCAAAAAACAATACAAAATGCACAGTGCTGGGCCCACCCTGCCAACACCCTCCACAACCCCTGTGAAAAAACAAAACGAAGTGCACAGTGCAGCAAAATCTGCACAGTGCGCTGGCGCCCTGTGAGCACGTTGTATTCTTTTTTGACAGGGATGGCGGGGCACCCTTAGTGAAGCCGCTTTGCGCAGGACCACCGTCCGTGTCAAAAACAATCCAAAGTGCACGTTGCGACAACGTCGTGGGTATTGTGCTGGCCGCCCGCGACCACTTTGTCTTGTTTTTTGACAGGGGCGATGGTGGTGCCCGCATGATGATGCTTGCCTTGCGCAGGCCCAGAACAATGCTGACGCCCCCCACATCAGCATCTGGACCATGCGGACGGGGGGGGCATCACGCTTTTTACAAGGATGGCACACCAACCGCATGTGGAGCCCGCGGCGAGCGTCGCGCACCTGGCGGCGGCTTTGATTCCCAGTGGCTGTCTATCCAGCGGCGACCACTGGTTATGCCGAGATCCAGATGCCACCTATGTGGTGGGAGGGCGGGTGGGAGTGAGCTAGACGGCTTGCGTGCGGAAAGGGTGTCTTGACCCCTCCCTCTACCCCCTCCCCTGGATCTGGACGGGGAGTTCTGCGAGCGGTCAGGGCGTCCAAAACGGTCTCGGCGAGGAAGCCAGAATCATTGGTCTTTCCAGGGTTTCGGCCCCATGTTGGCCTCTTGGGGGGACCAGGCTAATTGCCCCCCCCCCCCCCCCCCCTTTCTTTGATCGATGTCCTCCAAAATGGCCCCAAGAAGCGCCCAGGAGGCCCCAAGGTCCCAAGATGGCCCCAAGATGGCCCCAAGAGACCCCCAGGAGGTCCCCAAGATGACCCCTAAGCTGCCCCAAGAGGCACCCCCGAGGCACCCAAGAAGCCCCCCAGGACCGCCAAGAGACCCCCAAGACGTCCCACGAGGCCACCACGAAACGCCCAAGAGATACCCCAAGAGGCTCCGGGAAATCCGGGGTCACGTTGTGTAGATTCGGAAAAAATAAGCGTTCCCCCAACGATGCTTACGCTGCGATCTCCTGCTTGGCCTCTAAAGATCTGGAGACGGCTGCCAAATATCCTGTTCGCGGCCAGCCGTGGCGCCAGCTTGAAGAGGGTGCGTCCCGGGTCAAGGTAAGGGTGCATCCCAAATCGAACCAATGGTGCGTCCTAATATTTCTTGAGGGTCCCCGCCTCTTTTTCCCATTCGCCCTTTCTTGCGCTGGCGTAATCTAACATTATTTCCTCTCCCTGTCATGCTGCCTCAGGGCGTCTACTCTGGAACTTCGACGCGGGCCCGCGCCCTTAATCGAACGGCGCCACCCGCTGCGGTCAGCCCCCAGGCCCTTCCAGTGACAATTCCTCCCCCTCTTTTCTCCTCCCGCCGCATCCTGTACCCTTCCTCTTT